AGCCAATCATTTAACCTCTAGCTCAAGTCCCGGCACTGGCACCAGGTATCCCCTTCATCATTACCTTTCATTCTCTCGTTTTTCTCCTACTCAACGTGCTTTTCTAGCTCTTATTACATCTCAGACAGAACCTAAAACCTATGACGAGGCAGTTGGCGACCCATTATGGCAGCAGGCTATGAATGATGAAATTGCAGCTTTTGAACGTAATCATACATGGTCTCTCGCTCCTCTACCACTTGGTCATAAAGCTATTGGTTGTCGTTGGGTGTACAAAATTAAATACAACTCTGATGGTTCTGTTGAACGTTATAAAGCTCGACTAGTAGCAAAGGGGTACACTCAGGTTGAAGGTATTGATTACACAGAAACATTTTCCCCTACAGCGAAACTTACTACACTTCGTTGCTTACTCACTGTTGCTGCTGCTCGAAAATGGTTCACCCATCAGTTGGATGTTCAAAATGCCTTTCTCCATGGTAATCTAGACGAGGAAGTTTATATGTCTTTACCACCAGGTCTTCGCCGACAGGGGGAGAATACAGTATGTCGGCTCCATAAATCTCTTTGTGGATTAAAACAGGCTTCTCGCAATTGGTTCTCCATATTTTCTACAACTATACAAAATGCAGGCTACACTCAGTCCAAAGCAGATTACTCTTTGTTTACTAAGAGTAAAGGTACTTCTTTCACTGCAGTTCTAATCTATGTTGATGATATTCTGTTGACAGGCAATGATCTCGAAGAAATTCAATATCTCAAGACTAGTTTACTCCAGAAATTTCTTATCAAAGATTTAGGAAATTTGAAATATTTTCTAGGCATTGAATTTTCTCGATCTAGAAAAGGAATTTTTATGTCTCAAAGGAAGTATGCTCTAGACATCCTTCAAGACACAGGTCTTACAGGAGCACGTCCAGACAAATTTCCTATGGAGCAAAATCTGAAACTTTCTTTAACTGAAGAAGAGAAGTTGAATGATCCAAGTAAATACAGACGGTTGATTGGCAGATTAATATATTTGACCGTCACTAGGCCTGACATAGCTTATTCAGTTCGTATGCTTAGCCAATTTATGCATGAACCAAGAAAACCACATTGGGAGGCAGCTCTTCGAGTTCTGAGGTACATCAAAGGCACTCCTGGTCAAGGACTTCTACTGCCATCTGAAAACAATTTAAGATTACAGGCATATTGCGATTCTGACTGGGGTGGTTGTCGAACTTCCAGACGATCTATTTCTGGGTTCTGCATTTTCCTCGGAAATTCAATTATTTCTTGGAAGTCTAAAAAGCAGACTAATGTGTCCAGATCATCAGCAGAAGCCGAGTATCGAGCTATGGCAAATACTTGTTTAGAGTTAACTTGGTTAAGATACATTCTTCAAGACTTGAATGTTCCACTGTCCGAACCAGCATTATTATATTGTGATAATCAAGCAGCATTATATATAGCAGCCAATCCAGTTTTTCATGAACGTACGAAACACATTGAAATAGATTGTCATATAGTTCGAGAAAAATTACAAGCTGGAATCATCAAACCGTGTTATGTTTCGACCAAAATGCAATTGGCAGATGTTTTTACTAAAGCTTTGGGAAGACAGCAATTTGACTTTTTGAAGGACAAGTTGGGTGTGATCGACATACACTCTCCAACTTGAGGGAGAGTATTAAGAGGATATTTTACCGTGATAATTAGTTAGAATATATCTTAGATATTTAGGGAGTTGTTAGTATAGATTTGATTAACCGTATATTTTATTTATTTACCAGATTTAATTAGATATATATTTTTTCTATTTTTAGGTATTAGTTGATAGTTTGTATCCTATTTAAACGTGGTAAACCTGAATGAAGATCATACTTTCGATCCCAATTCTATTTCTATTTCTCATTCTTAACACACACGGCCTGAGTATTTCAAAAAATACTCCATAAGTGGCCCCATTATAGGGTCATAAAAATGCAAACACATTCAATAATGATTTAGGGGCCTATCTCTAACATCATAGGATTGGCCTCTAGTCTCAGACAAATTAGATGTGTAGTACATCCCTACACACGACTCATACATGTGAGTGTGAATCCTCAGGGCGCTCACACTTCCCTAGATCCTCTGGTCAAGCTAATTTGTAGCGACATCCAGAGGTCAGTGGAACCCCATAGTGTCTTGCGCCTTATGAACACCCTCATCTGTGCGCATTCACACTCATCATCATATTGTGCACATTCGCACTCATCATCAATATTTTGTGAGCGTCAGTAATGAAGCCAAAAATTTTAACAGAACCCAATAAAATCGAAAACTCAGAAAGAATTTCACTTCTTTACATGATTTTTTTGTGGTAAATTGTCATAAGTTTTGATTTGATTTGGTTAGGTTATTTGGATTAGATTTGATAACTAGGTTATTTGGATTAGATTTGATAACCTTGGTTATTTGTATTAGATTTGATTGGTTATTTGGATGTTATTTGGATTAGATTTAGTCTCAGTCGGAGATTTGATTCTGTAATGCTATATAATGAGAGAGTTCTCCCTCCATTCGGAATATCCACTCCTAACAAGTGGTATCGGGATTTGGGAGAGTTTTGGGTGTCAAATCGTATTTGTTGAGTGACACACTGGTGAGAATTTGGGAGAGTTTTGGGTGTCACATCATATTTGTTGAGTGACACATTGGTGAGAGTCATTGTAGTGTGATAGTGAGGTATTCACTTGTAACACTTGGTTTATTAGTGATTTCTCTCCATTCTGGATATCCATTCCTAACAAGTGGTATCGGAATTTGGGAGAGTTTTGGGTGTCACATCGTATTTGTTGAGTGACACATTGGTGAGAGTCTTTGTAGTGTGATAGTGAGGTATTCACTTGTAACACTTGGGTTTTTTAGTGATTGGTCCGTAGATGTAGGAGAACTTCTTATCTCCGAACCACGTAAATATATTGGTGTCTCTTTGTATAATTTTGTTCATTGGTGTTGTGAGTACAGTCGTTCCGCTTCCGGCGCCCAACATTTTTTTTTTTTGTTAGAATGGTTAAAGATTATCCTCTAGAAAATGAAGAACGTTTACCAAATTATAAATGTTACAAGATTAGAGAAGACATCTAAGAACAACAAGATGCACGAGATTGAGAAGAAATTTCAAGAGGTTGCCTAACATAAGATTGCTCCAAACTAAACATGCCTAACTTTTGAATCTCAGGAGCCACAAAAAATAGGTAATGTAATTTTTAGATATATTTTTTATTCTTAGAGGCAATTCAAAACAAGTAAATAATATGATTATATCATTGAAGATGCAAAGGGATTTGTGGGGGCCAAATCTAGATTACAAATCTCGGTCCAAATTCTAGGTACGAGTTTACATCTTAGGAAACATCAGACTAAGCAAAAAAAAAAAATGCTAAAAGGAACCGTGTTGATTTGTGCGGACAAATTTCACTCCTAGAAGCAATTCATGACAAGTTGGTAATGTAGCCATATCACAGTGATGCAGAGGAATGTCTAGGGAATAAGTTGCCGGATCCAAGTTTCAAATTCCGGTCTAAAGCTTCAACATGGGGCACCATTTGCCATTTCCAAAAAGCTTCGTATCCATTCTTCTTCTTAGATATCATTCTAAACATAAAAATCAAAAGATTTAATTATTTAACCACGGTTGTTGGGGTTGAATAAGTTTATGATCCAAATAACTGAGTTAGGTCGAAGAAAATATCTAACTCCACCAAGCTCAAGTCGCGAGGAACAAATACCTTAAGACTTGAAAACACCAAACAGAGCATTGATGGACACAATTTTTTGTTTTTATCTTCTCTCTTTTGCGATTTTTGTCGTTTTTTGCCCCAATTTTTATAAGTTCTTGCCGAGTAAACTCCTAGAACATTTAGCTACTTTTGATATTTAATTTTTCTAGGATTAGCGACATTTTTCGTGAAGCTAAGTACGGTAGAACAGTTAAGAAATGGAGATGAATAGTTAGATAATTTGATATTAAATATAAATTCCTAGAATACAGATTACTTGTCGCTTAATTTTCTAATCTAAAACCTAATGTCTTTCAAGACTGATCTAAAAATTGCAACCGAATGTACACCATTGACGAAAAAGATAGATTTAAGGATACGACTCACTGGATTTGTCCCTTCTAGTGTCAATTCTTCTTTCACAATATTGATGGATCCGTGCGATATCCAACGAATATAGTTAGGACATTCGATTTGACTTATCATTTTGTCTCCAAAATTTCTAATGGTAAATGATTTGTTTAGGGTTACCAATAGAGAGGGGAGTTAGATATTTTTTATGATTACAGATTTTGTTTTGTTTTTTTGTTGAAGTAACTGGTTTTTTGAATAATGTCCAAAAACTGCATATTGGTGGCGGTGCCGCTAGCAGCAGAAGCTGGCCACGTTTTGATCCTGACACCATTAGTGGTGTTAATTATCGTGCAGTTCTTTACGATGACACCTTCAACGGGTTCTTCGTTAGTGTATCTTCCAAGACTTTCGATGCTTATGTCATGTCCTGGCCCACATGACACGTTGGTGATGTTAATTTGTTTGCTTCCATCTCCAAGAGAAATGCAATCATCTCCTGTTGCAATTTTGGACATTGTGATTGCGATCCTATTTGATCGACCGATGTGTATTCCTGGGACTGTTTTCTGGTGCAGTTATATTGATATTATGGAATGTGAGGTTGTTGCAGCCGAGGACGTTGATATGGAAGTTCTTGCTATCAAGTTACGTTATTCTCTTCACGATTGAATTGGTGATGAAGTTGAACCTCAAACTCTACACATTTTGTATAATCAAATAATATTTTGTCAGCATGAGTAAGGAAGCCAAAAAAATTTAACAGAACCCAATAAAATAAAAAACTCATAAAGAATTTCACTTTTTTTTTTTATATATTTTTTTTTATTTTTTTTAGAATGGTTAGAGATAATCCTCTCGAAAATGAAGAACGTTTACCAAATTAAAAATTTTAGAAGATTAGAGAAGATGCCTAAAAACAACAACATTCCCGAGATTGAGAAGGAAAGCTGAAGGAATATTGCTTACAATAGGGAGTTGGGCACAATTTATGCGTTTATGGCAATCATTCTTTTTCCAAGCTGCCTTTCCTTGGCCATCAAAAACTCCTTGACCTGATAATGTCAATCTATCAATACGTTCAAAAGTAATCCAATTATTTCCCTGAAGACTTTTTGGTGCCTGCAATGTTCCTCCAAGTTGAAAGTGAATTGGGCTATTACAAGGTCCTTTAAATATCCCTTCCTTTACTTTAAATATCCCTCCCGGAATAACAATCGCACAAGAACGGTTGAACGTGCATGCATCCTTCCATGCATTTGGTAAAGCCTACATGTCACAAGTAACAAAAATTAGCAAACAATTGATCAACTCAACTCGTGATAATATTACTATTCATACTGTATATTTACCTTCGTGATGTCAGTACCAAGCACTATGTTACCATATCTTTTCAAAGAAAAAACAACATCGGCACTAGATTGAGCATCGACGGTAAAATCTAACAATAATAGCATCAAAACTGTAGCAATCAAGAAACTCGATTGTTTCGTACTCATGATGCCCTTGCTTTCTTTTCTATTTTTATGTATATTGCTTGAAAACTAGTGAGAGACAATGATATTTCATTTTAGATTTGGAACCTTTATGTATTTAATAATGCCAATTGAAGAATAGAAATCAAGTTGGATGGAACTAACCGAAGTTATGGTTCCATCTCCCTCTCTTAATCCAAACGTAATTGATAACTAAATGTTGTTTATTGTTTCGCTAAGTTGTTCATCAATGGTTGTGTTGCAATATCTCTCTCACTCACCTACGAACAGTTGAATCTAAAAGAAACTAGGCATTGGTCATACCAAACGAAGTACTTTTTATAGAAGGAAACAAGCTTTAGGCCACGAACTAATGGTAGCCTTGAGATACATACATACATACATATATATATATATATATATATATATATATACGTGATGGTGTTAATATAACACATGCGGAGGCAATTTTGATCTTAGGCACTTTTAGAACATCAATTATTGTAAATAACTAGCATGTTCATAAGTATTAAAACTTAATGAGTTTAAATACTAATCTCTTGTAGTTCAAACTCCTTTTGCCTCACGAACCGGTTTTGAACCACCACTAGTGTCTTCTCCACTATCCTCCGGCCTTAGTACGGGATTGTGGAATCCGGTGTGTGACTAAACTTGGGAGGAATTTTGTATATGTGAAGAGAGTGTTTGTGAGAGATTTTTCTCAAGGTTTTTCACCAAGATAAAGAAGACCTTCCATGTACCATGATCACTCTATTTAAAGAGTCATGTTCGCATGTTCATGCAAATTTGAGATCACCAAATTTTGATACTTAAAATTCCACTCAAATGTTTGGGATTATGTGGCAAGCATGCATGTTTGAGTTAACCAAATTTTGACACTCAAAATTCCACTCAAACTTGTGGGGTTTATTTGGCAAGCATGTAAGTTTGGTTAAACCAAATTTTGACACCTCAAAATTCCACTAACATGGATTTTTCCATTAGATGAAAGTCAACATTTTGACTTTCTTCATATTAATTCAACAATTAATTTGAATAATGAATTTCAAAGTTAAAGTAACATTAAATGATTAATTAAACTATTTAATTAATATTTAATATTAATTCAAATGCCAATCCCAATCAATTCCGACACATAATTGATTAAGATATTTAAATCTTATTTAAATATCTTAGATTCTCTCTTTTTATTTAATTCGTAAATAAAACAAAATTGCGGTTAAATATATCGTATATATATGTAACGCATATTCCCTAATTTGAATTCGAACACTTCGAACTCACTCGTCACACTGTTCTATGGTTTAGTCCGATATGAGCTAGCAGAGTGACTTAATGGACCTATCGATCATGGGCTCCAACGATCCAAGATTAACCAGTTAAACTCATTAACCTGGTTAACCAACATTCGTTAACTACTAGGACACTCCACTATAGCCTAGTAGTTGCACTCCCCTCACTATAGATATATTTCTGTCCATCTGATATAACCATGATTAGTAAGTCGATCCTTCACAGGTTGTTCGTAACTAGAGCTAGGTCAATTTACCGTTCTACCCCTGAAGTTACTTCTTGTTCCTTATGTCTCACTGATCCTCTAATGAACAATTGGTTTGTGGTCCAACCAATAAACTGAATCCCTCTCAGGCCAATGAGAGGGTGGGGCCCCTTGTTCAAGACCTGGAGTCAGTGCTTAAGGGAACTACCTTTCTTCTATTCCTAAAAGTGGCTAGGAGTGAATTCCGTCTTGCACCCCACGTCCCCAGCCATTCACCCAGTCTTACCATTGAAATGGGAGGCCTGTTGAGTCGGCGAACTAGAGCCACTCTCACCCATGCAAATCTAAGGATAATTTCGAATAAACAGGAGTTCATGGTTAGCTTAGGATTAAAACCGAGTTACCTAGGTTATCGAATGAAAAGAAAATCAGTCTCAACAGTAAACGACATTATAAAGTGAGAGTAGTTTTCTTCATGGTCCGATCTTATGCAATACTCATTGCATAGGACGCCCCCACTCACATGTCTCCACATGTACAATTTAGTGATCACATTGTTTATATCATATACAAAAGTGGGCCGCATCCATAGTGTCCCTAGAATAAGGTACTCAGCCTTATCCTTATACTATAGATCATTTTGACTATATACTTGAACTTGATCCACTCTTATGTCTCTACATATAGTTCAAGTAATCATACTATAGCCAGAGTGTTGTTAGTTTATTGGATTTAGATTAATGATCGTAAAGCTCACTTTATTCAATAACAATTTTTACTGAATAAACATCAATAATAACTTTATTGAGAATAGAATATATCTTTGTTTACAAACTATGAGTTTTAGGACATAAAACTCAACAAACTCCCACTTGGACTAAAACTCTAGTGGGGTTTTATAACGTTGAGTAGAGAGAAATACAATAAACTAGGACATCACATACTCATGCATTTTCTCCCACTTGCCCTAGATTACATAACTCGTAGTCCTAGACTCACAAGGTGCCCTTCAAACACTTTAGCCGTGAGGGGCTTTGTAAATGGATCAGCAATGTTGTGCTCTGAAGCTATCATTGTGACGATCACATCTCCTCGTTGCACAATCTCCCTTATGAGACGATATTTGCGCTCAATATGTTTTCCTCGCTTATGGCTTCTTGGTTCTTTTGAATTTGCAACTGCTCCACTGTTATCACAATAAAGAGTGACGGGAAGATGCATATTTGGAACGACTTCCAAATCTGTTAAGAACTTCCTATGCCATACAGATTCTTTCGCTGCTTTACAAGCAGCAACATACTCAGCCTCCATGGTGGAATCAGCAATGCAACCTTGCTTTATGCTTCACCACATTATTGCTCCTCCGTTCAGAGTGAAGACAGATCCTGATGTCGATTTCCTCGAATCTACATCGGTCTGAAAATCTGAGTCAGTGTACCCTGTAAGGATCAGATCCTTAGCACCGTACATTAGCATATAGTCCCTCGTTCTCCTAAGATATTTGAGGATATTCTTAACGGCAGTCCAATGAGCACGTCCCGGATTGGACTGATATCAGCTGACAATTCTCACAGCATAGCATATGTCGGGTCGGGTACATAGCATGACATACATCAGACTACCGACCGCTGATGCATAGGGAATGTGTTTCATATCCTCAACTTCTTGAGGTGTCTTAGGACTTTGTTCCTTCGACAAATGAACTCTATGCCTGAAAGGTAATAATCCTTTCTTGGAGTCCTGCATCTTAATCGAATCAACATTTTGTCGATGTACGATGCTTGAGACAATGCTAGTGTTTTGTTCTTGCGATTCCGAACAATTTGGATTCCAAGAACAAACTGAGCCTCTCCCAAATCTTTCATTTGGAATTGTGTCGCCAGCCAATGCTTAATGTCAGTCAGAATTCCCACATCATTTCCAATGAGTAGGATATCGTCAACGTACAACACCAGGAAAGCTACTGTAGAGTTGACTATCCTTTTATAAACACAAGGTTCTTCAACGTTCTGTTTAAAGCCATAAGATTTGATCGCAGTATCAAACTTTATATTCCAGGATCGAGATGCTTGCTTCAACCCATAAATGGATCTTTTAGGCTTGCAAACCCTTTGCTCGTGATCCTGTTCAATGAACCCCTCTGGTTGAGCCATATAGATACTCTCTTCAAGATTGCCGTTTAGAAAAGCTGTCTTAACATCCATTTGCCAAATTTCATAATCATAAAATGTGACAATAGACAAGAATATTCTAATTGATTTAAGCATAGCAACAGGAGAGAAGATTTCTTCATAGTCCACCCCCTCTCTTTGGGTATAACCCTTTGCTACTAGTCGTGCTTTAAAGGTCTGTACCTTACCGGTTTGGTCTCGTTTCCTCTTATAGATCCATTTGCAACCAATAGGTTTTACCCCATCTGGTTGATCTACAAGTTCCCAGACTGAATTGAAGTACATTGACTCCATTTCCAGATTCATGGCTTTAATCCACTAATCTCTATCTTCATCATTCATTGCCTGTTTATAGGTCAATGGATCCTCAACGCCATCATCAGGTATGATGACTTGAGTTTCTGCCAAACCCAAGTAACGATCGGGTTGAGTTATAACCCTCCCACTACGTCGAGGCATTCTCAACTCTTGAGAAGGATGTGATTGACCAGAAGTGTTAGCTCCATCAACAACTCTGGTTGAAGGACCAGCTTGATCAACAACTCTTGTTGTTTTATCAGTAGCTTCTTTAGAAATCTCACTTAATACTAGTTTGCTACGAGGTTGATGATTTCTTACATGGTCTTTCTCTAAGAATGTAGCGTTCGTTGATACAAACACTCTATTTTCTTGAGGATCATAAAACAAACCACCTTTCGTCTCTTTGGGGTATCCTACGAATAGACATAGTTTTGAACGACGTTCTAGTTTCTTGGGATTTTGCAACAACACATGTGCTGGACATCCCTAAATTCTGAAGTGACGTAAACTACCTTTACGCCCTTTCCATAACTCATAAGGTGTTTCTGAAATACTCTTAGTAGGAACCATGTTCAAAATGTATGTAGTAGTCTCCACTGCATATTCCTAAAACGGATCGAGTAATTGAGTGAAACTCATCATAGACCGAACCATGTCTAATAGAGTTCTATTTCTCCTTTCTAATACACACCATTTTGTTGAGGCATACCAGGGGCTGAGAGTTGAGACCTTATTCCATGTTCTATCATATAGTCCTGAAATCTTAAGTCCGTCTATGTACTCTCCTCCTCGATCTGATCGAAGTGTTTTAATAGTTTTACCTAATAGATTCTCAACCTCAGTCTTATACTCTCTGAAATTTTCAAGAGCTTCGGACTTGTGATGCATTAAGTAAAGATAGCCATACCTTGAATAATCATCAATCAAATTGATGAAATATTCATACCCTCCTCGTGCTTTGACATTCATTGAACCACAGAGATCTGTATGCATGAGTTCTAAGGTTTCTTTGGCTCTATAACCTTTTTCGTAAA